TCTTCAGTATTACATTGTTAGGTCATGTCAGTGTAGATTGGAATTACCACTGGTCTTCAGTATTACATTGTTAGGTCATGTCAGTGTAGATTGGAATTATCACTGGTCTCCAGTATTACATTGTTAGGTCATGTCAGTGTAGATTGGAATTACCACTAGTCTTCAGTATTACATTGTTAGGTCATGTCAGTGTAGATTGGAATTACCACTAGTCTCCAGTATTACATTGTTAGGTCATGTCAGTGTAGATTGGAACTACCATTAGTCTCCAGTATTACATTGTTAGGTCATGTCAGTGTAGATTGGAATTACCACTAGTCTTCAGTATTATTATTATTATTTTACATGTCTTCAGTATTACCTTGTTAACGTGGATTGGACTGTCTATTCATGTATAGCATTACATTCCAAAGTAACTTTATTTCAATATGTGATAATGTTCTTTATTAAGATTATAGCTTTATTTCCACATCCAGCCACGTAATGAAAGATTACATTAATAAAACCACAGCAGAGAAAGAATACAAACACAGATTCTGTACATACTGTTAGGACATATTCTTGCACTTGGTTAAAAGGTATTTATACTTATATGGAAAGCTATTGTATGGAGGGCAGTGCAGTTCAGTCACGGAGATCTACAACAACAACAAAACAAAACTGTTTTACGTGATAAGTAAAAAGACTTGTATTATTAACAGAGCAAGAAAAACTTGTTTTACGTGATCAGTATACATCTCAACACAAATAGCCAATATAAGTAAGAAAACAAAAAAAAATCATAATCCACATAAAGATAACAAACTCCGCACAAGGTCGGTTATTATTTGTTAGAAGTGTGACAGTCATATGCAGCCAGTAAACACTGGGGAGGATAAATGTTCTAACAATCGGTAAATAAAGGGTTATGGATTTTTTGTGACTCCTTTTCCGGATTGAATGACGTCAATCGGCAATACTTCGACGGCTTCCAATGTAACATATACCGTATTTCCGTACTCGGTTCACCCTGGGGTATCGAACCCCGGATTTTAGCGTTGTAAATCTTTAAACGTATCTATGATCCATCTGGGTATGGTTCTAAGTCAAACAGTCTTTGGACTCATTCACACAGATGCTACAACTAAAGCAGTATAGCACGTGGCAGGCATGGAGGGGATAAAAACACAAATTTCACTTTATAAAAATGCACACACACACACAGACACACGCACGGTATGTTTGAAAACAATCAATCATCTTTTACTTACAAGGGAGTGGGGATGAACATTTAGGGGGCATCGATTTTTCATCAATTTACGTCGTTCCGGTATAATTCATAGGTACGGAATATCAATTGGACCATTGATAATAAATCTTTCTAAGAATACCTGTCTGTAAAAAGAGATCATTCTTGACTTAACCAATCCTACTTTGGTAAAATGGGGCGTTTTTATCGAATAAACCGTTTCGAATCGACTATTTCCTTAATCGCACAGTCGACGAATCTTATCGTAGCTAGATGTAAAATGAATTATTGGGGATACCTCCAATTCTTCTTACCTATAGGCTGTCTGCATTGTGCTTAACCTATAAATATTGAATTTGACACGTCGGAGAGGCGAGTAGCTTGAGCTGTCCGAGTAACAATGTTGTGTTTTTATTTTAAAAGTGTTGCGTCAGCCACAAGAAAAGAACAGGATGTAATTTATTTCTGATAAAGCTTTTAGAAAACAAAGGCTACAAAAGTTGCAATATGTTTGTGCCCAAACGAATATGTCATTAATCTTTCGAGAATTTTTTTTATGTGTTTAAAAAAGTGCTTAAAACACTACACCACTCAGAAGTTCCAAAAACACTGTAAAAGAAATTGAGGGACATTCGAGAACGTTTGTCCGTATAAAACAGTCCTTAAAACACTTTACGTCACTAAGAGATTGCAAACACTTTGTAAAAAAAAAAATTAAGGGACAGAAATACACATTCGCTTGTTGACACACGCATAAATATTCAAAAATATGTACTACCCTAATCTTTAGAGAACGTTTGTCCGTATAAAACAGTCCTCAAAACACTTTATGTCACGAAGAAATTGCAAAAACTTTGTAAAAAAAAAAAATTAAGGGACAAAAATGCACACACACACACACATATATATATAATTTTCTATAGGGGGCATTATAAAGGCTCCTCACACAAATATAAAACCACGTTTAGATAAAACAAACAGCGAAAAACAACAACAAAATACTTACCAACCATGACACCATTATCGATCTGGATGTTACGGCAACAACTCTGACACCAGAAGGCGCAGTTTGAGGAGCTTCAAAATAAAAATACTCTTCATTTTCCACTTAAAAAAAACAAACAGTTTCTAAGCTTGGACAGTTATACATCGATAAGTAAATAGAAATTACACGCATAAAACGAAAACTCAAATATTAAAATACAAGACACTTCCAAAAAAATATATAACTACACAGACAAAGAAAGATTACGGAGTGCGTTTGGCACGTGAATTTTAAGTAATTTACACATTAATCATCCTTACATCAAGTTATGCATTATTTAAATATACAAAAATAATAAACTTATTTTTTCTCTCTTATTTAAGTCATTTGAATTTTTCAACCTAAACGGCGCCTTATGCGTACGTGGGCTGAACAGTTGGGTCAGAGACCCCTAGGGTCAGGTATAGGCGTTATTAATTCCGAGCTTCTGACTAAGAGGAAGGCAGTCAGCCAGCAACACCATCCGCCACTAGGCTCTTTGAATCGAATAACAGGATTGATTATCACTTTTATGGCATGCTTACAGTTTAAAGTGTGATGCGTGTTCACGTTTCGAGCTCAGATATTCTGATCCGCAGCCCGATACGATAACCACTAGTCCAAGAGGGGCTTCTACTTTATTATTTTTTTTTATTATACTCAAAATATTAATTAGCTATGTACCATACGTATGTATTTTGTAAAGAACTTTATTGCATTGTTGTTGTTATATTTTAAAAAGTACTTAATGTAAATAATGATCAAAACTTGGTTTCCACCTAACTTATCAAGATAAAAATGGTTGGAACTAAACTTGTTGCTACTCTTTCAAATATCTATGAAGAATTTACACCATGTTTACAGGTATAATAGCCAATACTATGATACATGCTTCGTGGTTTTGATTACCATGCTATACATGTAAGCCATGCGTCAGTGCGCTATATATTATATATATAAACCATATGTCAGTGCGCTACATGTTATATATGTAAACCATATGTCAGTGCGCTACATGTTATGTATGTAAACCATATGTGAGTGCGCTACATGTTATATATGTAAACCATATGTCAGTGCGCTACATGTTATATATGTAACCATATGTCAGTGCGCTACATGTTATATACGTAAGCCATATGTCAGTGCGCTACATGTTATAGCGTGCTGATATATGACTTACGTATATAACATGTAGCGCACTGACATATGGTTTACATATATAACATGTAGCGTGCTGATATACGAATGTAACATGTAGCGTGCTGGTATATGGCTTACGTATATAATATTTAGCGTGCTGATTTACGAATATAACATGTAGCGTACCGACATATGACTTACTTATATAACATGTAGCTTGCTGGCATATGGCTTACGTATATAACATGTAGCGCACTCACATATGGTTTACATACTACATGTTATATTCGTATATCA